AGAGAGAGGGAGAGAGAGGAGAGAGAGAGAGAGGAGAGAGAGAAAGAGAGAGAGAGAGAGAGAGAGAGAGAGGAGAGAGAGAGAGAGATCGACCCCCCCCTCATCCCCCTCCATTCCCAACGCCCATCCACCCCACTTTCCTTACCTTCCACACACCCAATTTTTTCCCCTCCCTCTCCCCCGCCTACCTACCCTCCCCTACCCCCCCACCTAACCCCCCCAACTCCCCCACCCCACCACCCCACACCCCGCACGGGCAACGCCAGAGAGAGAGAGAGAGCGAGAGAGAGAGAGCGCGAGCCCCCCCCCCAAGACCCCGATATCCCGGCCGAACAAGCATTTACAAGCCATTAGCCCCCTAATTACTGTCGGGCAACAACAGCCGCGGAGATTTATCGGGCGCGGCTCATTTTCATCTCTCGTCCCTTAATTAACACCGCGTATTTCGTGTAGGACAAGCAAGCAAGCAAGCGAGCACAACCCATTCGACATGTAGACAAGCGCATGGGACTCGCGCGGCCGGGCGGCGGCGGCGAGGACGAGGACGACAACACGCGGCGAGTGGGGGTGGAGGGTGGGGGAGAGGGGAGGGAGGAAGGGAGGGAGGGAGAGGAGAGGGAGGAGGGAGAGGGAGAGGGAGAGAGGGAGGAGAGGAGAGAGTGAGAGAGAGAGGAGGAGAGGAGAGAGAGAGAGAGAGAGAGAAGAGAGAAGATAGGAAGAGAGAGGAGGAGGGAGAGAGGGAAGAGAGAGAAAACCCTGATCTTGGAACACAAGGGAGCGGAGGGGAAAGGGGAGGGTAGATGGGGAGGGGGAAGAGGAGGGTAGAGGGGGGGGGAGGGGGGGGGGACGAAAGAACCCACGTGCCAACGCGACAGATCCTGCAAATCACTCTCCCAAGATTAATTCTAAGACTTCCGAGCCAGAAAAGGCGGCGGGGGAGGGGGGAGAGGGAGGGAGGAGGGGAAGAGGGGAGTGGAGAGTGGATAGTGGGGAGAGGGGAAGAGGGTGAGGGGAGAGGGTGAGGGAGCGGGAGAGGGGAGGGTTGTAAAAGAAAGCGAGAGGAGGAGAGACCAGGGTAGGAAGGGGAAGAGTAGGGGAGGGGAGGGAGAAGAGTACAAGGTAGGAAAGGAGGGCCGAGCAGGGGAGGAGGAGAGAGAGGAAGAAGGAGAGACGCGGGGAGGAGGAGGAGTAGGGGGAGGAGAGGAGGAGGAGGAGGAGGAGGAGGAGAAAGGGAGGGAGAAGGGGGGGGTGGGGGAGAGGCGTCCGACCAGAGGCAAACAAAACATCTTGGCAGCAAAAAAAAGTCTTTGCTCACACTCGCGACGCCTTGCTGGCCGCCACACCGCTGCTTGTCAGACAGATTATGGCCGCGCCCGGAGAGCGTCGGGGGAGGGAGGGGGGAGGGGGAGGGGAGGGGCGAGTGAGGGTTAGGTAGGTGGGGGGAGGGGAGGGAAGGGAAGGGCGAGTGAGGGAGGGGGGGAGAGGGGGCCTTGTGTTGTTTTCAGGGGGAAAGCAAGGGAAGGGGTAAGGGGGGGCAAAGCTAAGGAACGGGAGGGAGGGGAGGGGGGAGGCAACAAATAAACAAAATTAATGCACGCACGCTTTATAAAAAAAAAAAAAAGCTTCGGGAACCCGAGACCGAGAAGATTCCGTGGCGCCCTCCTCCTCCTCCCCCCTCCTCGTCCTCCTCCTCCTCCTCGACGCAACAAGCTTCCTTCTCGCCCTCCTCCTCACCACCACTCCATCATCACTCTTTCTCGTCTCTTCTTCACCCTCCCCCCTTCCCCTCCCTTCCTCACCTCCTCGTCCAAATACCTCCAACGTCCCTCCCTCCCTTCCCTCCCTCTCCTCTCCCTCCTCCTCTCCTTTCCTCTCTCCTCTTCTCTCTCTCTCTCTCACCACCACCTACCCCTTCGCATCCCCTCTCCCGCTTCCCGACCCTATCTCCCCGCCATCGCCACTCCCAATGGCCCAAACAAGGCGCGGGGTCGCAATAAGCAGGTTTTTATACTTTTAACACGTGATATACGCGCCTTGTAAAAAGATGCCACGAGGGATCCGACTGACTCTCACCCCCCGCTACCCACCCCACCCTCCACATCCCACCTCCCTACCTCCTCCCAGTCCTGCTTTCAGAAGACAAACAAGCAGTTGGCCACCCGGAGGGGAGGAGAAGGAGGAGGAGGAGGGAGGAAAAATGGCGAGGAGGGGGAGGAGGGAGAGGAAGACGATACCCAAGTAAAATTAATTAAAAGACAATGTAAACTTAAGTGTGTAATTGGTCTATATGAACCACTGACACTGACACTGACACTGACACACACACACACACACACACACACACACACACCACACACACACACACACATCACACACACACACACACACACACACCACACACACACACACGCCCACGCACGCCCACGCCGAGGAGGGCGACCGACAACCGTGAGACACAACCTCTGCAATGTCAACCCGCGGTCCCGCCTTTCTCTGCAAC